CATCCATGTCATCTCATATATCTACTAAAGTCAGTGGTATGAATCAAAGAGTTATTAGGACTGTTATCTAGGTCGTTTGGAACAGTATCTAAATCGAAGTCGTCTTCACACACATCTCCTACATTGTTTCCTGAAATTAATGTTTATATTTAGAATGCATGTCGATGGAGTTAGAAATATCTTTAGTGACTATCTCAGATCGCTATAATCTAAAAAATTTCACTTGCAGATTAGTGTAATTTCGGGAAGCTTATAATACATAATAGAATAAATTAAATTCTTAAAACAAGTTCCCATAACGATAAACACAAAAACAAATGTAACCTACAGTCTTAATCCATGGAGGAGAATAATTATTCCTTTGTAATGCTTACTATGTGGTTTATCTTTGCTTTTTGGGGATAGTTCTAAATCATGTGCTTTGTAAGGGGAAAAATATTGCTCATTAACCAACTTTTACATTTAAATTATAATAAAGTAATAAATGTTTATAAACTATTAATTGTTTTCACTTTTTCACATACCGTTAAAATCTTTTTGATCAGGATTGTAGCCGTAGACGCAGTTATCTTTTTCATTGATAATTGAATCGCCATCGATATCAGGATCGCATGCATCACCTCTTCCATCTCCGTCAGTGTCAGCTTGATCGGCGTTAGCCTTTTGAGGACAATTATCTCGTTCATCAATAATGCCATCACTGAAACAATCACGGTTATTGCATTATTTAAGTTTTAGTTAACATTTACTTCTAATCTATGACTGCAAAAGTAAAGATAATATAATTTTCTTTTTCTACCGGTAAATAAAATATCCTAATCATTTACAAAATTTTAGAATTATATACTTAAGTGCTTAAATGATTAAAAAGTACTATTTATTTAAACGTGCAGATCTCAATAGGGTAAGGTCGTACGGTTAAATGGAACAGTTCAAACAGAAACGCCAGAGCCAGGAAAAGACTATCCTGTTTACTTCCTCTATACTCCTCTAACGGTGCTGTGTCGGCAAGTTCATGTCTCTGGAAGAACCCATCAGTACAGATCTATGCAATGGAAGGGTCTCACAGAGACTAAGTTAAGATTGAACTGGTTTCTCCGTATTAGTTGCGAGTCATAAAACATTCCTGCAGCATTAATTAAACTTATGACCTACTGTTCCCATTGTTCCATCAATTTTTTATAGAAGAGATAGTCCAAAGGAATTTTGTATTAATCCTATTAGAAGAAGGTTCACTTTTAAAGTCTCGAATGCCACTGATACTTTCTACAACATATTCCAGACCTCTTTGTATCGGATCTTATTCCATAAATGAAATTAAGTTTATGACATTCTCGCTCTTGCTTTTTAATCCCTCGACCAGGTAACCAGGACCATTAACTCTACATTTTTTCCACAATGGGATGCAAATCATTAGGTTTTCGTCCTCTCCTCTTCTTTTGCTCAGCTGAACATCAGAAGTTAGTGCTATCCAAGTTTAAGTTGAAGGTCTGCTTTTTTTAAAATTTGAACCCACGACTATGGGTTTCAAAATTATGTTAATGAGCCATAGTTCATACTGTGGAACGCTTTACGATTGTGTATGCTATCCTTGCGTAAGGTCTTTCCGGATCTTCTCTCTATCGTTCCAATTTTAGTAAGCAAATGTATTACCGTAGTGAGTGCTGTGAAATAAGCTCTGCTTGCAGCTTTGTTTGTTTTATTTTATTATTCATGCTAAAGTGCAGGAAGCATTCATACATCATTTTCAGTTGAAAAGCTGGACCACTTTGGCATTCGAGGTACAAAAAAAACTGTTACTTTCATTTTTAATTTTGTTGTGCAAATTGGAACCGTCTATGCACTATTGTAAGAGCAAAGTAGTGCTGTTGCTGAAGCAACGATTGCGGCTTTACTGCTAATAGCGTTCCGCTATAACCTAATCAAAACAATTACGAAAAGGAAAGTTAAAAACCCTTAAGTATAATAATATCTGAACGGAGAAAAAATATATACTCTATCCATTGTTATACAGCAGCTTTAGCACCGAACCGTACTACTCGCTTAATTATAGCGTACTGATTGACATAGAAAGGATAAATTAGGCATCCCTTTGCTGGCGCTCGCGTTCTTGTTAAACTGATTCGCTTAAAAACACTAAGGCAGGTGCAAGCACAGACTTTAAATATATACTTCATTTACTTTCTGTAGCGATGTGCCCCTTCCAATGACATGGATGCGCGCTGGCAAAATCGTAGGTAGGGAGAAAAAAGCTCATTATACTCTCGACTCTTGTTCATTAAACATACTTTTTCATACAGTACCTGCCAAAAGTTTTGTTCAATCATGAATAGTAGAGCGAGTCGAAAACAAGCGTTGAAGCCTTTAATATGTCTTTAAATATAAATAAATCTCGTTGATATTTTCAGTATTAAATGGTACCAATAACAGCACATTTGAGCAATGAAATTGTAGTGGATAAAATGATCAATTTTTCCGTGCAGTAGTGTACAGATTATACGCTCCTCACCGGTTAAGAGAGTTGTCTCTTCCTTTTCTGGCCTAGTGCTGTTCTTTTCTACTTTGCGCCGGTTAAAGTGAAGGTCACATCGCTACAGAAAGTAAACGAAGTATAATAAGATAAGCAGATCACGTTTTAACGAATAGGCTGAATGCGTTTGTACGAATTTGTTTATACCATGTACTCATTTTCAAAAAGATGATGCCGTTCTTTGATGATTGCATGTAGTAAAATTCTCAATTCGCCATTAGTGTACATGTAAGTGTATTTTTATTTGAAACTGTTGTTCACATATCATTAGTTTAACGATTTTTCAAAGGTATATGTTCATAAAAGAAATTACATAAACGTCTTTAACATAACCAGAGCATTTTGTATTAGATTCATTCATCAAATAGGATCTTGTTAAACATTGTAGTTCACAAAATAATTTATTGATAGCATACACAATGCTTTTACATGACATCATTATGGACTACCTTAAGTATTCATTGAATTTCTTTACCAATTGCGTTTGTAGTCCCTTTCTTCATCATTTCTATTTAAATTTGTTCATGAGATTAATTCAATAACGGAGATTAATTCAATCAGATCTACCTCATGCAAGACCATGTAGCGTTTAATTCCTGACTCGAACTTTGTAATATAATACAATAGCGATCTCATAAATAAATGCGATAATAACTAACGTCAAAATGCAACGAAATTATCCATGAGCAACACATGTGCCCGATCTTTTAGTGCTATACAAAACTGTGCTGTGTGCTGTCGTGTAGAATATTTAGTGGAAGTGCTGACGGCGTGTATATTTTTTAATTTTACGGTGACATGCTCGTAGGGATGACTTGTGCTGGTGTTAGATATATTAAGTAAAAATGTCCCTCGACTGGGTTGCTGTGGTATATTTTGGGTGGAGTTTTAAACATTACGCCTTCAGTTGCTTCAAGATTCATAATTTACCGAAAATAGACACTAAACTAAAAAAAATGCACTATTACCATCTTCTTTCTTGCAAGGCCTTACAAAATCAGTACAAATTTTGACGATACGGTCAAAAAAATTCTTTTCTCATGAAAACCGGTTTTTGTTGATAATTCTTTACTCAACTGAGTTAATCTTCTACACTATCACCTTTTAACCCTTTACTCACTGCGTATGTGCAACTATGTGTACGATTTATGTTCTGCTATAAAGTTAACGTAGAGTTGAGGTAGGTTATCCCATAAAGAGAGAAGAGTTCGATGTAGTATTAAAAAACTTACTGAACAATAAGGCGCCAGGTGTAGATGGGATTCAGGGGGAAATTCTAAAACATGTAGGACAAGAGGTTATATATCGTATATTTGATTATAATCACATTTACGAGACGGGGAAAGTCCCAGAGGATTATAAACGGAACGTGGTGGTAACCATACCTAAAAAGAGAGGCGCGGATAGGTGCGAGACATGTAGAACAATTAACTTAATTTCCCATGCGTGAAAAATCTTAACTAGAATTCTACAGAGGAGGATAGAAAAAAGGTCGGAAGAACTACTAGAGGAAGGTCAATTTGGGTTTAGAAGAAATAGAGGAACGCGGGAGGCCGTACTAGCTTTAAGGTTAACAACAGATAAAACGATAGGAAAAGGAAAGGGCGCGTATGTAGGATTTGTAGATTTAGAAAAAGCTTTTGAGAATGTTAAATGGGACAAGACGTTAAATATATTTAAAAATGTAGGGATGAGTTACAGAGATAGAAGAGTGATGCTTAGTTTGTATAAAGAGAAATAGGAAGTTATAGGGCTGGAAGTAAATACTAGGAAGGGAGTTTTAATCTATACATCGAAGACGCGATCAACATCATTAAAGACAATACAACTGTAGGGATAGATATACAGGGGCAAAAGATTAGAATGCTTAGATTTGCAGATGATATAACAGTATTAGCATCTAGCAAGGAGGATTTAGAGATAGCTTTAAATAAAATGGTAGCGGTATTGACAAAACAGTACTGCATGGAAATAAATAAAAGTAAAACAAAAATACTCATATGACAGGGAATAAAAAGTAGAGAAACAGCAAAAATAAAGAAAGGAGACGAAAAATTAGAGGAGGAGCCGATTTTAGGTATCTAGGAAGTCAGATAACTCAGGACGGAAGGAGTAGTACGGAAATAAAGCAGAAGATAGATCAGGGTCGAGTGGTTAATTTAGAAATTCGAAAAAGGTTGTTAAAGGTGTATGTTTGGAGATGGGCGCTGTACGGGTGCGAAACATAGACAATAGGCGGGACGGAAAATGAAAGGTTAGAAGCGTTCGAAATGTGGTGTTACAGGCCAATGATGAGGATGTGGTGGATAAAGAAGGTTAGAAATGAATAGGTATTAGAAAGAATAGGAGAACAGCAGACTGTATGTAAGTCAATAAAAAATAGGCGAGGTAGGTTGGTAGGACACCTTCTCAGGCATGAAGGTCTAGGCAGAGACATATTAGAGTGACATATAAAACTGTTAGATAAAAGGTGTAGAAAAAAAAACATAACAAATTTCGTAAATGCGATGGATAACAAGGAAATCGCGTGCGAACTTTTCATCTGTTTTCATGTNTCAATTTTTCCGTGCAGTAGTGTACAGATTATACGCTCCTCACCGGTTAAGAGAGTTGTCTCTTCCTTTTCTGGCCTAGTGCTGTTCTTTTCTACTTTGCGCCGGTTAAAGTGAAGGTCACATCGCTACAGAAAGTAAACGAAGTATAATAAGATAAGCAGATCACGTTTTAACGAATAGGCTGAATGCGTTTGTACGAATTTGTTTATACCATGTACTCATTTTCAAAAAGATGATGCCGTTCTTTGATGATTGCATGTAGTAAAATTCTCAATTCGCCATTAGTGTACATGTAAGTGTATTTTTATTTGAAACTGTTGTTCACATATCATTAGTTTAACGATTTTTCAAAGGTATATGTTCATAAAAGAAATTACATAAACGTCTTTAACATAACCAGAGCATTTTGTATTAGATTCATTCATCAAATAGGATCTTGTTAAACATTGTAGTTCACAAAATAATTTATTGATAGCATACACAATGCTTTTACATGACATCATTATGGACTACCTTAAGTATTCATTGAATTTCTTTACCAATTGCGTTTGTAGTCCCTTTCTTCATCATTTCTATTTAAATTTGTTCATGAGATTAATTCAATAACGGAGATTAATTCAATCAGATCTACCTCATGCAAGACCATGTAGCGTTTAATTCCTGACTCGAACTTTGTAATATAATACAATAGCGATCTCATAAATAAATGCGATAATAACTAACGTCAAAATGCAACGAAATTATCCATGAGCAACACATGTGCCCGATCTTTTAGTGCTATACAAAACTGTGCTGTGTGCTGTCGTGTAGAATATTTAGTGGAAGTGCTGACGGCGTGTATATTTTTTAATTTTACGGTGACATGCTCGTAGGGATGACTTGTGCTGGTGTTAGATATATTAAGTAAAAATGTCCCTCGACTGGGTTGCTGTGGTATATTTTGGGTGGAGTTTTAAACATTACGCCTTCAGTTGCTTCAAGATTCATAATTTACCGAAAATAGACACTAAACTAAAAAAAATGCACTATTACCATCTTCTTTCTTGCAAGGCCTTACAAAATCAGTACAAATTTTGACGATACGGTCAAAAAAATTCTTTTCTCATGAAAACCGGTTTTTGTTGATAATTCTTTACTCAACTGAGTTAATCTTCTACACTATCACCTTTTAACCCTTTACTCACTGCGTATGTGCAACTATGTGTACGATTTATGTTCTGCTATAAAGTTAACGTAGAGTTGAGGTAGGTTATCCCATAAAGAGAGAAGAGTTCGATGTAGTATTAAAAAACTTACTGAACAATAAGGCGCCAGGTGTAGATGGGATTCAGGGGGAAATTCTAAAACATGTAGGACAAGAGGTTATATATCGTATATTTGATTATAATCACATTTACGAGACGGGGAAAGTCCCAGAGGATTATAAACGGAACGTGGTGGTAACCATACCTAAAAAGAGAGGCGCGGATAGGTGCGAGACATGTAGAACAATTAACTTAATTTCCCATGCGTGAAAAATCTTAACTAGAATTCTACAGAGGAGGATAGAAAAAAGGTCGGAAGAACTACTAGAGGAAGGTCAATTTGGGTTTAGAAGAAATAGAGGAACGCGGGAGGCCGTACTAGCTTTAAGGTTAACAACAGATAAAACGATAGGAAAAGGAAAGGGCGCGTATGTAGGATTTGTAGATTTAGAAAAAGCTTTTGAGAATGTTAAATGGGACAAGACGTTAAATATATTTAAAAATGTAGGGATGAGTTACAGAGATAGAAGAGTGATGCTTAGTTTGTATAAAGAGCAACAGGCAGTTATAGAGCAAGGGTTGCAACGTAGAGAAGTAAATATTAGGAAGGGAGTCGGACAGGGATGCACACTGTCACCGCTACTTTTAAATCCATACATCGAAGACGCTATCAGCATCATTAAAGACAGTACAACTGTAGGGATAGGTATACAGAGACAAAACATTAGTATGCTTAGATTTGCAGATGATATAGCAGTATTAGCATCTTGCAAGGAGGAGTTAGAGATAGAAGTAGGGTAACGTAAAAAGATAGAAGACAAAAAGTTAGAATAATTGTAAACAATGAGATGCCAACATTCAGTCTATCTATCGATTCCTACAATTGTACTGCGTTTAATGATGTTGATCGCGTCTTCGATGTATAGATTAAAAAGTAACGATGACAGTGTGCATCCTAGTTTGACTCCTTTCCTACTATTTACGTCCCATTGATTATATTCAATTAATTGTTAATTTCCTTGTTTTGATCGAATTAATATCAGTTAATATGAGACAACGAATTTTTTTTTCAGTCTAAACTGCATTTGAAAAACGTTAAGCATAAGTATCTACCTGCTGACCGAGAAAATTTATCATGAAGATTAAATCAATTCAGTAAACTTTTTTTATTGTGTTGACTTCTAAAAAAAATTAGGTCAACCTAATAATAATACCAAAGTTTATGAGTATACTTTTTGTTTTCTGGTTTTTGTTTTACTAAATCATAAGCCTTACTCATTATATACATAATCCGAATCCATGGTATATAGATAATATAATCCACTTGACTTGTAAATANATAGACAATAGGCGGGACGGAAAATGAAAGGTTAGAAGCGTTCGAAATGTGGTGTTACAGGCCAATGATGAGGATGTGGTGGATAAAGAAGGTTAGAAATGAATAGGTATTAGAAAGAATAGGAGAACAGCAGACTGTATGTAAGTCAATAAAAAATAGGCGAGGTAGGTTGGTTGGACACCTTCTCAGGCATGAAGGTCTAGGCAGAGACATATTAGAGTGACATATAAAACTGTTAGATAAAAGGTGTAGAAAAAAAAACATAACAAATTTCGTAAATGCGATGGATAACAAGGAAATCGCGTGCGAACTTTTCATCTGTTTTCATGTCCTAAAAGTCATTTTAAAAATTGATTAAAAATTATTAAATTTCAATTTTTTTTTTAAACATTGACAATCTTTGTTGTGAATTTTTTTTTAAACCAATTAGTATTTGTTATATACAGTTTAAACTTTGTTTTGCATTTTTTTAAGTTTAGAAGATTAATAAAGTAGTAACACAGTCGCACGATATTTTGAGTTGAGTTTACTTTTGATAATAAATATATTAGTTTTTATTGATTTTTATTTAAATGTTCCTGAAATCATGAAATGTTGCCTTGACTATTCTAAAAAATTGGCGGAAGTTTCTTTCCTCGTCCATTAAACGTTAATATAACATTTTCTCTAGGTCTACTTTTCTAGACATTGTAAACCCATATTTTGTTTGTTTAGTTATTGACAGTGTAAAATACAAACTAATAACCTGAAGAAGTCGGCATTGTATTAACAAGAACTAGTTAAATATTATTATTATTCGATAAATTAACAAAATGTACATAATCCGGTACGACAAACCTTGTCAAAGGTTTATATTCAGATTACCGCGTGCAACCTTATTTACGTATTACAACTAGTCTTGGTTAGTTTCAAATCAATGATACTAAACAGGAAGCTTTGAAATCTTATATACGATTTTTAATAAATTAAAAACTGAATAACATCAAGTATCGCCGAATTTGCCAGTCTAAAGTTCATATTAAATAAGACCCCCTTGAGAAACAGCATATTTAATAAAAAAAAACATTAAAAACCTTTCACAATTGGGATTTGACAAAACGATACGGCACCTGGTGGCAGAAATTTTAACTGCCCAAACATTGCATTGTAATAAACAGCTATTGTGTACTGTGTTATTTTGCAAATGGGGATTATTAATATTTTATATATTATATGGAACTAGCCAAATTTCCATTTCGTGCAAAATCAAAGTGCAGAACCTTTTGTGCTGTAAAAGGTTGTACAAGTCGATTAGATAAGGACGTATATATTATATTTCATAGTTTTCCTACGGTGCAACGGGTCGTAACTATCACAAATGTATATGGTAATCTTGAGAAAATCGATCAAATGAAAGCTTGGAAAAGAGCTTTAAAAATTAAAAATGTCAGTTCATGTACAAGAGTTTGCTCACTTCATTTTAAAAAAGATGACTACATTTTTCCGGGTAAGTAGTAATCATAAACGTTGTATTTCTATACTTAACCTCACTTTATAACTCCAATGTGATGCTAAAATTTATGCGTTAATTTTTAAAGATGTTGCAGTAAAACGCAGAAAACTGAAAAGGAATGCTGTCCCGTCTAATAACTTACCTAATGTCAAAATAGATAATAGTCGCGAAACTCGAAAAATTAATCGACGTAAAAAAATTGAGGAATTAATGGAGAAGCAGGAAAAAGATTTAGTATTAGAAACTCATCAAACGGTGAAAATTTATGGAATGTTCAAGCAGAAGTAGTACATCTAACGCTATCAATGCGAGATGTTGAAGTGCAAGTATCAAGCGGTATCACTTGTTTTATCAACATTTTTTCCACATTTTATTATATAACCAGTTTTCAAAAGTTTTTCGGCTTCCACAACACTTCTTGCGCTTGCATTTGCATTAGCCCAATCAAAAATTGTTTTTAAATTTATCATTAGAAAAATTAAAAATCACAATATGCAATGCTTTCTATAATACTGATGCAATGTATGGACAGCCGTCTTTATTAGGCCGCGCCCACATGTCACATCCCAATTGGCAAAGCAATCGCGTACTACTCGAAAAAGTATAGTTGAACAATAGAATTGAGGGCATCCTTTTTTTTAATGTGGGTTGAAAATAAAATAGTAAAATTGACCTAATTAATTATGACGATAGATAAATCGAGTTGATACATTAACTCTAGACTTACTGGTCTCTGTCTCCTCCTCTACTACAAATATCACCTACTCCGTCCAAATCTGAATCAGTCTGATCTTGATTTGGTACTTGCGGACAATTGTCACAAGCGTCACCAATGCCGTCCCTATCTTGATCTCTTTGATCAGTATTGCGATGCCTTGGGCAGTTGTCACGTTCGTTATAGATTCCGTCTCCATCCATGTCATCGTCACAAACATCACCTCTACCGTCGTGGTCAATATCTGACTGGTCATAGTTAGGCATTGTTGGACAATTGTCACAAGCATCTCCTTGTCGATCTGGACCACCAATGTCGGAATCGGCTTGATCAGGGTTAGCTACTAATGGACAGTTGTCCTAATAAAAAATTCACACCAATAAAACAATGACTTGCAGGTAAAAGGATTGTGTTATTAATTATATTACATAAAGTAGTCGCCTAGTTTAGTTCATAGATTTCTAATCACTACATAGTATAAAACATAGTCGCTTTCCCGCTGTCTGTCCCTATGTATGCTTAAATCATTAAAACTACGCAACGGATTTTGATGCGGTTGTTTTTAAAAGATAGAGTGATTCATGAGGAAGGTTTATATGTATAATACATGCATAATATAGTAGGGAAACACTGATAATTTTAGAGGTTTCTAATGTGATGTCGTAAATAAACACATTTTTTGCGCTTACATTGCAAACGCTGGCTGAACCCTACGAGATAGATCAAAATAATGTACTACAATATTGTACATCTTAAAAGGGTCTACAAAAAAGTCCGGNCTACGAGATAGATCAAAATAATGTACTACAGTATTGTACAGCTTAAAAGGGTCTACAAAAAGGTCCGCGATGGTATATGTCTATTTCTTAGGGATAACCCACAATAACCATTTTTATCCTTTACTTTTTATGAGAAATAATGACTTATTTACGAAGCGATTGTAGGCAATGCAGCATTAATTCTTATCCAATTAACTATCTTAAATACATTATGCATTTAATATAGATCAATATGGCCCGTTACAGCATGTAATTTAAATGAATATTTTCGAAGATATTACAAACTTAAAATGCAGGGACATAGCGTCTGCGGCGGTACCGGCCGGGAAGCCGGTTTGTATTGTCTAATGACAAAAAAACTGTGAATGTTGTGTAATAAGACATTCTGTAGTATATTTAGTATGTTGAGGGGGTATCTGTTGAAGATTTCCCCTTCTCGATAATAATCTAAACCAAAAATGTACATATTTAGTATCAGCATTGCACCCGTGCGAAGCTGGAGCGGGTCGCTAGTTTATATATATAACTTACGGGTCCATTCGGTATTCTGTCATTATCCGCGTCAGGATCACATTTATCACCAAGACCATCTCCATCGGCGTCTTCTTGGCCAGAATTAGGAAGGTCAACGCAGTTATCCTAAAATCCAATAAAATTACCGTCAAATAAAGTCGTCCAATTTCATATTAAATTGATGCTCTTTATCAATTGTTTTCGCCACCATTATGAAAGCACTTAATTACCTTGCGACATTTGGGACTGCTACAGTGTAAATCATGGTCGGGCCAACCATCCAAGTCTGTATCCCGCCCACAAACTGTTCCATCTCCCACATAACCAAATCGACAGCCACATCTGTATCTACCACCAACCAAAGGAACACATTGAGAATTTGGTGGACAATGTAATCCATCGGGGCAATGTCCTTCTTTTGGCGAACATCCGAAACTCGCGTTTACAAAAATGAAATTTTCACCACATGCACTCCTACAGGAATAGGAACCCTGAAAGCACGCATGAACACTAAATTTTTTATGCCTTCTCTTACGTTAATAATTAATTTTGTTATACGGTAGATTAACAGTAGGTATAAGAGCCGTAATTATTACTAAGCCCTCTGACCTTTAGAAGGTATAGGTACTCTTACGATTAACGAGTGGGTATCAAATGTTTAATTACCTAATATTTATAGGAAGTTGTTTACAAAGAAGATGGACACGTATTTACTAAAAGGATTATGCGGAGCGTTGTTTTAATAACAAAGCTTTCGTAACTTAATTGTGTTTATTTTTGCCAATTGTCTTTAAATTTTATTCAGGTCTAAAGTGAAAAAATAGATGATATACTTACTGTCACTTATTAAAAATGTGTGCATTTTATTTCTTTAAATGAATTTTAATAAAATCAAAGGGTGTTGATATGTTTTATAAATAACTTAATAAATTAGATACCCGAAGAGCTTACTTGACTATTTTCACAAATGGAGTTCGGTCCACATATTGAAGGATTATCCCGACATTCGTCAATGTCGTAGCATTGTTGTCTATTCCTTTCAGCTTCCTCTATGCCAACCCTTCGAACACCACCAGAGTCTCCGGTGTATCCAGCAGGGCATGGTCCACAAATGTAACCGGGTTCCAGGTTGGTGCAGGAGGTGTCAGGGTGACAAGGCCGAGCCAAGTCGCACTAAAAAAATATTAAGAATCTTACATATGGCATTAAGAGCGCTTTTTGTAATTGAACTGAAATAATTACACTCGGACTCGGACACAGACTTGATGAGTTCACAAGTTCAAAGTGCTCCCAAATCTTAATTATAATGTAGACTAGTTTTCACCTTTAACTTCGTCTTCGTGAAGAAAGAAGTCTCATAGAAATCGGCTCAGGCGTTTTGAAGATTAGCCCGTAAAAATAGATAAACAGAAAATCAGACAGACAAAAAGCAGTCTAAATTACTTCACAATCATCTGAACTTAAAAAAGACAGTTACTGCGATATGTATAGTTATAGGGTTGTTCGGAAAGTCATTTCGTTTTTTTTTTGTGGAAATGAAAGACAGTTTTCGTATAATAAACAAATACTTTGTTAAATTATATATTGACTGTTCCGGTTCAACACCTTTTGCCATCTTTCTGGTAGTAGCATAATTCCACGCTCATAAAAGTTTTGGTCTTTGCTGGCAAAAAACTGATCGAGGAGGTTTTTAACCTCCTCATTTGAGGTGAAGGTTTTACCGTCTAAAAAATTTTGGAGTGACCGGAACAAATAATAATCCGATGGTGCCAGGTCTGGAGAATATGGTGGGTGTAGCATTGTATCCCATTCAAGCTGTAAAAGCTTTTGGCGAGTGACCAAACTTGTGTGAGGTCTCGCGTTGTCTTGGTGAAACACTACACCTTTCCTGTTGATTAGTTCTGACCTTTTCTGTTGAAGTGCATCATTCAGTTTGTCCAGCTGATGACAGTAGACTTCCGAATTAATCGTTGTGTTATCCGGTAAAAGCTCAAAAAAAACGATTCCTTTAAAATCCCACCAAACAGACAGCATCACCTTTTTTTGGTGAATATCGGCTTTGGAAATGGTTTGAGCCGGTTCATCTTTTTTGCTCCATGACCTCTTGCGTTTGACGTTGTTGTATACAACCCATTTTTCGTCCCCAGTGATGATGCGCTTCAAAAACGGATCATTTTCGTGACGTTTGAGAAGCGAATCGCAGACGTCAATGCGGCGACACAGATTTCTCTCTGTGAGAACATGGGGAACCCATACATCGAGCTTCGAGGATAATCCCAGGCCTTTCAAGTGGTCATAAACTGTTGAATTTGATAAATTTAACCTCAATCCGATCTCACGTGTTGTTATTCGCCGGTTCACATCAACTAATGCCTTTATCGCGTCTTTATCAGCTTCAACCGGCCTTCCCGAACGTGGTGCATCTTCGACATCAAAATTGCCGGATCGAAATTTAGCGAACCAGTTCTGGCACTGGCGTACTGTCAACACACCTTCTCCATACACATCAGTCAATTTCTTTCTGGCTTGAACAGCATTTTTACCCTTTCTGTAGTAAAACAGTAAGATATGTCGAAAATGCTGCTTATCGCTCTCCATATTTAAAAGGGCACCAACCAAAAACTACTGCGTAGAATTAATTGGAATTTTTCACACACAAGCCTTGCTATATGAGCTCTCAAAGCATATAAAAATTATACGGCTTAAATGTGAAGTTGGGTGCAAAAGAATACAATTAAATCCTCTGTCGGGAAAAAACGAAATGACTTTCCGAACAACCCGATATATAGATAGAGATGACCATATATATAGGTATTAGGTGCATCGATTTCTCAAAATCGATTCATGGCAAGGATAGGATAGGAAAATGAAAAAATATTCAAATAAATTATCCAATAATGTACAGAGTATTCCATTTAAAATAATAAAGCTGCTTGCATAAACGGATTACCCTGTATATGGGAAAAGTGGAATAAGTAAAACAAACTTCTTTCAAGGATTATTTTATTGTGCTCGACTATATTGTTTCGAATCACACGTGGCAATTTTCAAGAGCAAACAAGTACCTACCGAGGTAATAATATTAAATTATGTGTGAATATAAAGGGTGTCTCAAAATTCCTAGAGCAACCACAGGTTCCTGGCATCAAAATAAGTGATATAATGGAATTTATTTATGCCGTACATACACTACTAAAGTTTTATAAGATAAGGACTGTAAATAATAATAATTCTGCCGCAATTCCCTGTAATATCACGAACATAATATGTATACCCGTAGCAAATTACGCCACATATTCCAAAATTAATATCGGCATTTTAAATAAAAAAAAAAAAATATGTGTATTCGCGAAGGACATTCATGTTACCTGAGACAATATTCTTTTGTGTAAATATTGTTTTGTATAGATATTTCCTTGTATAAATATTATTTTATTACTTATGTAAATATTTTTAAATTCCTTCGTATTATAATTCTCTATCTGTGTAAATACTTCAAACATTCCATTCAAATTCTTCTGTATTTTATTTCTATATCTTAATAACATTATTACTTGTACTTTCATAACATTTCAGTTTCGTTTATTAACTTCAGTTTCATCCTAATTGCATTTTTACGATAGGTTTCTTCTGTGATTTGGGACTGAACATTACTTCTTAGTATTTCTTAAATTGAGTTATTTTTCAATCTGTACCACCTTACTTGCACCCTACTTTTATCTGACAACTTCTCCTCCATACTCGACCAAAAACATTTCTTTTCTCTTCTACGTTCTTCAGTTATTATTCAGCCTTCCTTATTTCCAGTTGTTTTTCCGTTTCTATCTTTATCCGAAATTGTTTTTATTATCTTATTGTTGTTGTTTTGTAAGTATTTTACTTCTATTATTAAATCTTCCAAAAACCACAGCACACTAAAGTGGCCCAAAAGACCAAATAAAGAATTAACTCGTTTGTCCTTAATAGAGTGTCAAATATATAAAAAAAATCGTTTTCCTTCTATTATTCAAAAACATTTAGTATAACTTCAACAAAATTTGACGTGTGAATATGTTTCTCAAAGTAATAATACAAAATAGTGAGTAATATTATTATTGCAATAATGTTATAGCACCACCCAAGAAATTAGATGAAACTGTATGCATATATCTTCCATAAGTAATTGAAAATAAATTATTTAGAGATTAGCTTATACCACCGTCTAACAGTTAGCATTACTTTTAGTGTGATTTTCTCTCTTAATATGATAATGTCAAAGCAGGAATTTCTTTATTATTAATTAGATTGTATTTTATTTTGCTTTATTTGTAAGTGATACACAATTTTTTTAGTGATTGTGTACCAATTTTAATGACAGTTTTTATTGAATAGATTATATTTGAATGGTGGTTTCATTTCAATATGAAGAAAATATTCTGCCTGTAAGGGTGGAAAATTTGGAAATGTTCGTATTAAGTATTTCAACTTGGGACCGCTTTCATTCGTCATACGTTATTAGGACACTTTCACACGGTGCGATAACGACAGGATTTACTGTATGTCGTAAATCGCAATGACACAAAAGTATATATCCAAAATAAATGAACCTATTTAAAGCGAACGTTTTCTCACTGATACGATCCGATATTAAAATCGTTGCAGTAAAAAATGCACGACACGTATATTCAATGTAACCAACTAGTCGTTCTCACACTTGTCGTGTGTCGCACTCATTTCCGTCGCACGTGTGTGATATGCTAGTAGTGCTAACCGCGACTTGCGCCCATTAACATATCTTTTTTAAAGAAAAACACATTCAATTACGAAATAGTCGATTTAATATAATAGAACTACTGTATTTCGCTCCATTAGATACATACAATTAAACCAGACAACACTGCGAGGATAGGTAGGCTCGCATTTCAACTTGGAATGTTGTCCAAACAATTTTTAGTCGCATAATTTGAAAGCGGCATTCCGATACGATAAGACAAATCGCGTGCAGTAATCGTGTCATTATCACACTGTGTGAAAGTGGCCTTACTGTGTAATAACATTTTTGTATACATGGTATATATATTTGGTATTTCTTATTCCTAATATTAACATTATCAAATATAATTAAATTCCTTCTTTTGCAAATATTTCATATCGCCATTACGTAAATATCCTTTCAAATGTATCTTCTTAAATTTTTTTGTATCTGTACGTTTCTATCATTCTCTCTAAGAATTACTTTATTATTAGTACTTTCTACTAATCCCTTAACATTTCAATTTCTTTTACAAACAGCATAAGGTGTATGATTCTAGTTCTTTCTTAATCGCATTTTCAATATTGGGTTTCTTGGTACATAGAGGCAAAATCTGTTTCTTAGAATTTCATTTAATCACACATTTCAAGTTTTATTCTCTTCTGATTCGATCCATACTTACTACATAAAATACTCCGCACATTTAGTTAAAATTTATTTTTAAAAGTACTAACACGGTCTGTTCTTTCAACTATTCCATTTCATTCTTCAGTTAATAGATATTAATTAAATTTGTTACGTTTTCATTGTGTTTCTTTTGGTTTATTTTATTTTTGCAAAGTGCACTTTTACCGCCGCAAAACCCTAAAACTCATTGGTTTGTACATATAAGCAAGTTATAAAGTCGGTGTTTATTTTCTATTTGAAAATAGTGTTTCTTCGAAGAGTTTCACGATCAGCACAATAGCAAACAAGGGCTCGATCAGTACTGTTAAATCCGCACGGTTAACTTCCCATCAGTATAAAATAATAAATATTTTTTAAGAAATCTCCAAATTTGACTTTTTTTAGTCTTTTTATTTAAACACAGAAACGAATGTTATGAATTTTTCTTCAGATCATCTTCTTGTTATTAGTCATAGTTCATCTCCAAATTATCTAGCAATGCTATTGTGACCTTCAAATTGCAAAATACGTTGAAAACTACGAATTGGATTTTTCGGATCCATTACAAAAACGGGCTTATGACTGGGAAGTTAATTTTCAGCAATTGCTCTCTCTCCAAAGCTTCCGCGTGGGTAAAAGTCGAGTCGCTTGTGTGCAAAACAAATTTTGTGATCTTTTCTGTATGATACATTATTTGCAAATTATAACAAAATAATTAATTTCATTTCAAAAAGGTTTAACTGACGTAGGAACAAACGAAAAGTTAAGCGTGTGCTTTTGCAAAGGTCTCATGTAACTCACTTTATTTACATACATAATTCGGAATTGCAAGAGGATTTTATGGATTCATCTGGGGTTTAATAAAAAATTGTAAAGAATTTGGTTTTTAGAGATTATACAATTACTTTACTGAACTTTAACATTTTTATTGTCTCTGGGTACATAAGTTTTCCTTCTGTAACATTTGCAATGCTTTAAAGTTTCATTAGCACATGATGATAATGCTACAATTTATAAAAACTGATACAAATACCAACAAATTGGAACATTACTGTATGACGGATTTGATTCAATCTAATATCGAAGGAAACATTTTTGTCGCCCCTCACATAAATGTTGCCCGGGCCCACGACCCCCTCTGTGCCCCCCACAGTACGCCACGAATGAAATTATAACAAACTACGCGCCAAATATAATCAATCATATCCGCCCATTTTTTTTAATAGTGTCTTAATACTAAATCAATATATCAATATTGTCGATTTTTAATTAAAGATTCTGATTCAATATCCTGCATATTGAAAGTAGGCCTGAGGCACGATTCCTTCTTTTAATTAAATGTTTCGATAGGAGTATGTCCCAGAATATTGTCCTTTGAGAGGAAGTAGCGACAAGCGTTATTACTGCAGGGCAAGAACGTTTTTATTTTTTCGTTTCCTTTCGCTAATATCTTCTAAGCCGCTTGGCAAAATTCTGGTCCTTTTAATTTTAAATCGATTATGTTCACGGCATTTCACGCATGTTTTGTCATTGTTATACATTTTAGCAAAAAATTAAAATTATCGACCGTTTTGTACACTGCTAAGTGGGAAATAGACAATGATAAAACATTATGACGGATGGTTCATAATATCGATAGAAATGTATTTAATGTTTTTCTTCTACCAATCGGAACGTGGACTGCTTTTTAAGTGGGACTTCTTTATCGACGGTAGGAAGAAATTTACTAGGGTATAAAACCGAAGTGTAACGTCAAGCGTCACCGTGTCACGCGCCACGTGTGACCCCTGGTGTATATGTCCGAAAGGAGTCATTTTAACAGGTTTCAGAAGGTAACCTGGTAATTTTAAGATTACGTATGCTCCAACAATAATTCGAATTATTTTATTCGATTAAGCTAACGTGCCTATCACTACTGGCTAGAAGTGACTTTAACTATTGTATGTTATGACAATTTACAGTGTAGAACTGTATCGCTTTGACAATGCCCACATTAAGAAGTGGGAGAAATACGTGATCAAATTTATAATGGTAATTTGGGTAAGTCTCTTTAATATTTTTTAATTAGTAATTTACCACAATCTCTACTTTCTACTTTCAAGATCCTATGATTCTGAAAAATCGAAGAACGTACGTCACCCTTAAAATTTCGATATCATTCAAATGACACCTCATTCGACTATATTTGAGATAACGGGTTCGCCTGCAGTATATGTAATAAACGTTTAATAGCGCTTATAAATCAAGAACTATGATTCTAAAGAAATATGTCGTTCTTATTAGAATTTCGCTATCTTTCGAATAAGAGCTCACTTAACTTTATTTGAAATTCTTTAATTTTTGTTTTTTTTTTAACCCATTAGAATCCGATTTTCGCCACATTCGTTCTCAGCTTGTCCCAATGTAATAGTCAGAATATGTTGTCAATATTTAATTCAAATCGACTTAAAAGTCTCAGCTGAGGGTTGATAATTAGTCAGCCAGCCAGTCCTTTTTATATGGATGAAAACTTACCTCCAATTATTACCAGATACCGGAAACTGAAAAATTGTCGTGAATGAAATTTTGGTATAGTATCTCCAAATTAAGTATATCAGCTGATAATTTCAAACCAAATTAGCAAATAAACACCTGCGGATTTTTTATTTATATTCGTCGTGCTAAATTTTAATATTCTGGGTCAAGACAAGTACTCTGGACATGTTTCAACCTTCCTAGTGTTCTGAAAGAGTACTTCATTTCTTAAAGATATTAGGATCCGTCAAATGGGCATACACCATCTGGTGGCAAAATTTATAACTCGAATGAGAGAAAAAAAAGTAAACTAATAGAAGCTTGGATGAAAGCAGTAGGTATCAAAGAAGTGAATTCCGGAATAAAAATTTGTTCACGTTATTTTAATGCACATGATTATATTTCAGCAAGTATTTACCATCAGCCATAACCTTAATATTTAAAACTAGAATCATACTAAAATTATAAAGTGAGAAAT